ATCCAAGCTGGTAACTACCAGCAATTCTACAAATTGTCTGAAAACCCATGAGATGTCCCTATCTCTCCATTCTCAGACTGCATGTGGATCTGGCTTCACAAAAGAATTTCAAATCATGAGTTGATCTTTACTTTTATTATTGGCTACTTCTGTGCCAGAAAAAAAAAAAAATACGAGTCCAAGAAAAGAAATGAGAGAGCCATTTCTGTTTTTTTTAATGGGAAAAATAATGCAATCAAATGAACTGTTGCTAATTCGTCTTTCGTCAAAATAGACTTTTTTGTTTTTAAGTAAAAAAATCTTTTGAACTGAAGTTCCTTTATGAAACCAGGCCCTTGCTACAGAGAAGCCAACTTCATAGGGACAAAAGAGCTTATGCAGTGGAGTGTGATGAAGATTTGATGTAGAACAAATTGATAGAAAAGCCATGAGATTTCTGATGGTATGTAGTTAATGCTACAGAACCCTCATATATCTCAAGTTGAATTGTTAATGAACTGGAGGTAAATAGACAAACAACTGACATAAGCATACTGGTAAAGACAGAAATTCTTCCGGACTCTAAATATATGAATTAATTTGCCACAATAGCACTTTTTATCCCTTTCATGCAGGTATAGCCATACAAGAAGACACAAAAACAGATGCATGCATGCACACAAATGCGCCTGCACTGTGACACATACATATTATGTCATGTGTCTGATGTACACATCTCCTTCCAAGCAGACTGGCAAGCTTTAACACAAGTGTTTATTTGAAGTGAGACTGCAAGGCAGCATCTTGCAGAGAGTTTATCTAACATTCAGATAGAAATTTATCATGGCCTCATACCCCTGTGGGACAACTCTAAGTGAAGAAAGATTAGAATCCCATTTAGACTATTTCATGCCATCATATCTGTAATCTTTTAATGTGATTTCTTATGCAGCAGAGACAATCCCAATGAGACATCTTGGCATTTGTGATTTCATTATTGTTGTTTTAAATTTCCCAATAAACATGTGAATAAACCCACAGACTTATTCCATTTTTAATATTTCTGTTAGGAATCGATGTCTCCGAAATATTTTTGTGCTTTGCTACAGCATGATTTTCTATCATAACAAGGTTCAATTATAGCAGTATAGTAAAATTTATTCTCCTCTCCTCCCCCAACCTGAGAAAAATTCAGAATTTGTAAGTGGAACTAGCAACTCACAACCAACCAAGAGTGGAGACCATTTTAATTGAAGGCATCATGTAAATCAGGAAGAGTGTGTTTTGTCATCATTAACAACTTAATTTTTAGCAGTTCTCATTTGCATGCACTTCTGCAAATAAGCGTGGACATGGTCATACTAGACTTCAAACTTTTGGTGTGACAAATACTCAATCACTCACCTGTTAAAAGCAACCATTGTGATGTATCACGTGTAAACAACAACAACAACTTTATTAAATCTGACAGCCCATGTCCTCCTCAGCCATAGAGAATGACAGAGTGGTGTAGGCACGTTTTTTTTGTTAATTTTGTTTGTTTTGTGAAGGCAATGACTCACACAGAGGATGAAGATCAAGTTTACAAAGGCTTGAGGAAACAACAGCTGCAATGATGGATAGACAGATGAGGGAGAAAGAGGGACTGGAACTTTGGATTGAGATGTTTGAAGAACTTTTTTCAATCACTTTTCTGTTCATGTGACTGTTCATGTGAATTCATCTAATGTGGAACAGTTGCAATATCATATAGATGGCAGTTTACTTCACTTGTGATTAGTAGGTACAGAATGAAGGAAATGTTCAGATATTCAAGCCGAAATGACCAGATATTCCATTAAGCTACTTAGACAACATTTGAACTTTGCAGAATTCAAAGACTAACATATCACAAATATATAAGAATTTCAGCAATGTTGAAGTGGCACTTTAAAGATGAATAACCCCTGACCACCATGTGTCATGCCAGATGGCAAGTCTACACCATAGTAATCTACCTCTTACCTTAATGTTTTCTTTATTAAGATTCCCATTACTGGTATAACAATACCTGTCCACTCCAGTTGAAGTACAGGTAAACTATCACCTGCTCATCTGCCACGCCCACTCTCAATGTGACCCAGAACAGAAAGGCCATTCAGCAACCAGCTTACCTCCCCTTAATACAGACACCAGACCCATGTGATTTTCTTTAAAAGAAGCAATTCTAAACCACAAGTCCACTTATTGGTTAGATTCCCATTAGTAGTGCTGATCTGTTTTTATCATCCAATACCTAAATTATGGCACCCTGCTCTTTCTCATTTTAACTGACACCCTGTCCGACTTTCTCCCTTGTATCCCTTAGTGTTTTTTAGCTGCACTTAGACACCCCTCAATTTTCTTATCCTTTAGAAATCTTACCCCATTCTCTCTCTATAATTTTATCTATTTTTTTCATCCCCTTTGATATCCTCTCCCTGAGTATCCCTGCTTTTCCTCGCCCCCTAAGATACCCAACCCTTTCCCACTTTTCTGGGTATCCCCGTTTTTCTGCATCCCCTCAGCTATCCCCTCCCCCATCCCTGGGTATCCCTGCTTTTTCTCAGCTCCTTTCTGACAGATGTCTAGACAGAAGCACAGGAAACCAGTGCACTAAAGCAACAAATACTCCATAGGCTACAGGAGCCCAAAGAGGTAGTGTTACATAGACAAAGCACCTGCCAGCCCACTACACAGTAGTTGTGACCTTGGGAAGATCTCATCTATGCCAGCTACCCCCTGGGTGTGAGATACTTTTCATTTGCCACTGGCTGCTGTTTGCCTTTTTTAATTTCATTTAGAACATTTCTTTATCATCTTAAAAAAAACTGCTTTGCTGTTGTTATTGTACCATCTCCTTCTCACACTGGCTCTTTCAAGTATCTGCTCAACTTTTGGATCTTTTTCAACTTTTCAATCTTCCAACCCTTCAGGTATCACAATATTGGAGTTGTTTGGGTTATCTTGTTCAATGCCATCTATTGTCACTTGGGGAAGTTTTTTCACTTATCTAATATCTTTCTTGGACGAACAATTTTGGGCATAGTTGAATGAATATTTTGTGTTACAGCAAGGGGAATTTGTACCTGCTTTTTTCAGGAATTACTATATTTTAAAGGAGGTCTGTGGGATGGAATAAAGATCCTCTATTCTGATATATTGGATGGTAACACAGTAATAAGGGCAAGGGTATCATCCATGATTGAAAATGGCTGAGACATGATCAGTCACCTACAACAATAGCCCTTTTTTTCAGATGTCAAACTCATTTAAAACAGTTTCACGCAGTTATTTCCCCAAAAACCAGCCAAACCGACTTGCATAAAATCAAACCTGCCAGACATATCGGTTTAAATTGAGTTGCCACTCTCAACTTCATAAATCCCTGACATCAAGATGATATTTTGGCACTGCAAACTTCAAAACGCCAGTTCCAATTAATTTCTTGGCCCCCAGGTGAACAATTCCCAAAAAACTCCTTCCTCTTATGTATGCATATAACTATCAAATCTGCCCGATCATTAATTTCAATCGAGGTGCCACACGCGCAGCTTGATTTCATTTTGATAGCCGGATCATCTTTTGACATCATCCACTTCAGAATGGTTCCAAACCTGGCATCTCTTGAGGGGGAAATCTACATCAAATACCATTACTTGATAGCAATAGGGATAATATTATCAATAATCCCCTTCCTTTAATTTGAACACAAAATGAAAACCCAAAGGCAACAAATTGTATTAGAAAGAATGAATGGTCTGAGCGATGTCAACCCTGGTCAAGCATGGGGAGGGAATTTAAAAGCTATTTCCAAGCCAAGGGGTTCTTCTTAATTCAATATAAATGCACATCACCAGCAAGGGGTTGAAAAATGGATTTTTACCAGTTCTGTAATGTATATAAGTTTTCCGGCTTAGAAGTATTTTCTGCAGGTCAAATTGGGCGATTTACTCTAATGGTATCTGAAAAATCCTTTTCAATGTGCAAAATACAACAGGCCATGCCACACGTAGAGACAAGACACAGGCGGCCTTAAAACTTTCCAGTACTCTGCCAGTACAACAAAAACCATTGAGGACAAAAACACGTACTTAAGCTGGTGATCATATATTAACATTTTTGACCTTAAGCTTTACAATTGCTTATCTGGCCACTTTTAGCAACTTTTAAGGTCAAAATTTGACAACCTTGAATGCTTTATTGTGAATTACAATACACGTAAGGAAGCAAAAATTGTTCTGTTGTAGCAAGGTTATAAACTCTATTCCACGGCACTCTTATAAACATAGTAATTCATATTATATACATAAAATACTTCTGCTGTTGCAAAAAAGCACAACACAGAAATTGGAGATTTTGAAAGTTAGCATCTTCCAAGTGTGTGTGTGTGTGTGTGTGAGAGAGAGAGAGAGAGAGAGAGAGAGAGAGAGAGAGAGAGACAGAGAACCAGTTGTGTGTTCCTATCAATGACATAAGTACCTGTGGGCTGAGACCACCTGATCAATCTCTGCCTTATAGGAATGTGCCAAAAATGTATTATCCATCTTGATGGTACCAAAATCATGTTCCCCATGATTCCCACCCAAGAAAGGTCCAGCTCCCACAACAAACTTTATGGGTGTCTTGACATGTTACATAGAAGTCAACTTTGATTCTTATAGAGCAGGTAATGTGGAAAGACAGGTGTAAATAAGGACTTGCTGAATTAAGGTGACTCTATATTTATTATCACTTCTATAAATAATTCCAATTTGATGAGCTTGGAAATTTTCAACCTATTGGACATGCACTAAAAACTCACATTACAACTGATTTCATGAACAGATTTTAACATTTTAAAGTCTGGTGTCGTCTTATTGGGACAAATTAAGAGCACTTCATGATACACATGCATACTCGTATTCACATAGACCCATATGTGGCTGTGCGAACAAACATGCATATGTACCTGTGTGAACACGTACACAACTCATTATGCCCATTGATGAGTATATACTCACTGTAGAAGATGGCTGCCAGCACCAGGACCCACAGATTCCCCCTCAGCGTACTCATGGTGGTCTAAACTCCAACCCTCATAGCACCATGGGACATGGAGAGAGGCAGTTGCTCAATTCTGAAAGTACACAAAATATTTATATATTTAAAAAAGATCCCCTATGGTCATCTTTGATTCAATATATACAGGTCAGCTTGACAACTATTAAAATACTTAAAATAGTCTTGCAGTTTAGCACACAAATCATACCTTTTAAAGAAATGCGTCAGAGACCTATTGCAATAATGCCTGACATCAAAACCATGTATATTCATGCCATTTGCATTAGTTCTGTTATGAATTTAACAGATCCTAGCATTTATTTCTGATTAATTTAAAAGCAATTATACTTTCAATCATCTGTTGCCTAACTTTATACATAATAGAAGCTTCATTCAGTATGCAACAATTTCCGCATGTCATTCCAAATATTCAACAGAAATAAGATATAATGAAGCAATGATAGCAGTAATTTCCGATGACCTGGGATCATCAACTCCAAGGCCACATATAATATGACATCGATAATTCCACCTGTCCATCTAATGGAATAAAGTCAAGTATCCTGGCAGTTGTACTAAATTAACCATAACAGTAGCACAGTTTTCACAACGGGTTACGACCTAACAATAAGCAAATATCATAAAGTTTTATGCCATGGGAGAGAGAGAAAGAGAGTAGGTTACTCCAGCTTTCCCTACCTTCTCTGCTTTTATGAAAAGTCATATATATAACACACACAAAAAAAAAA